AGGACACAAGCGTTTTTGAAAGCTTTTTCATCCATCAACGAAGCGTTCACGGAGAACGTAGGCTGCAGTGCTACAGTCTTGGCTATATGTTCAAAAAACACAGCCTTGACTGAAAGTTAAAAGACAGAACCAGATTTTCCTTTGCACAGGCTTCAGTTCAAACCCTTGAGGTGCTCTCTAAAGTTTTAAGGAGAGGGGAAAAACTCCTGCAGACACAGAGCAGTAAGTTATCTGTAGCCATCTAAAAAAACCCAAACCATCAACCTGACAATGTTTTGCCTGTCATACCTTTCTGCTCATAATTTTAAACAAAAGTATCATGTTTGGTCTGTCAAATTTACGGAATTATGGTTGACGTGGACAGCAATCAACAATTAACAGTTCTCTTAATGATAAAGTTTATGATAGCAATTTACTCCAATACTTTATGAAGTACAAAACTTTGTACATGGTTTGATGAAGAAATAATACGCAAAAATGGTTAAAGAATATTATTATTTGACATGCATTACCCAAAAAGCAGCACTGCTCCTCTCTCTCTGTTACCCTACACTATTGTAAGGCGCAAAAACATCTGGCTGAAAAAGGGGACATTTTGCAGAAGTTTAATAGCAACTCTAACAGGAAAAGCCATTATTTTCAATAAATAAAACAGTTCCTGCTTATGAAACCAGAACTATATTAACACTGGATTGTGAAGTAGACTAAAATTTTGAAGAAGGGCTGCTTTTTCAGTCATTCCACTTTTTAAAAGTTCTTGACACACTTTTTTTTTTTTTTTAATTAGATCTTTTCTCATACCCCATACCACCAAGCAGCCTGCTAGTGCAAGAACTGTAGAGAAAGTCAATAAAGTCCATGATGCGACTTCACAACGTTGGTGGCTATAACCCACTGAGCAGAGCCACAGTGCCATAGCCCTTCTAGCGATCTACACTTAAGCTTCAACTCACCTACACAGAGAGGAAGGACACTGACAAACCTTTCTCAAATTGCGTTGTTTTTTCTTTTGTCACAGGCTGGCTCTTGGGTAGACCAAAATTTTTCTAACTCAAAAAGACAACTCTCCAGTTGAATAATCAGGCATTTTACTCTCAGAACCACCTTCAACTAGCAAAGTCACTTGTATTCTGTCTTAAGAGCAGACCAATATTATTCTAATACATTTGCTTGCTCTACTATGAGGGTCATAAAGATTGAAATGTTGTCTGAAAACTGGCCTCTGTTTTCCTGCTGTTTTGATATAACAACACGCGACCCAAAATTAAAACTTGCACTAGTGTATGCTTGAGATGTTACATTTACAGCAGCTAAAAATAAGAAAGACTTAAAGACAGCCCCATGGTAAACAGATATACGTCTAAGATCGTCTTTTCGCTAAAAGAGAAAAATGTGTTTCTGAACTAAACCTTCACCTGTAAATTTGTACAATATGACTGTCTTCAAAGAACGGTGAAGAAGTTTAGGACAATCACTAAGGCACAACACCGTATCCTGAGCAGTTAACCATCCACGGTCAGGATTAAGTAATAAACTCCCGATTCCTCAGTACTGTCTCTCAAACTTGGCTAGGCTGGTAAAATGCTGATGTGGTCATGTGTCTCATAACACACCAGGTCACCAACATTTTAGGCTCATCAGTTTACTGGGGGAGCCTGACTCCACTGTGACCACCGGTGAGAGAATGATACCTCAACGGCAGTGCTCACCCAAGAAGAGTCAAGAGCACCACTGCGCTGGTATGTCAACACTTGCGAGGATATGTTCTGGTATCTTACGTAACTGAGTATTCCTTCTGCAACGAGGTGAAAAGAAGCTATCCCACCATTAAGAATAAGGTCCTACAGCAACAAATCCCATGTTCCTCCTCATTTGCTGCAAATATTAAGATATAGAAGTATTATCTGGTACAGAAAACAGAAACAGCCCAAGAGATTGGGCTCCCTGGGATGAGTCCTGGTCCCTGAGGTGAGCACACACTTCCCACTCCACACAATGAGGCAGAGCTCGCTAAACACTTCACAAACAACATTTAATCATTCTGTCTCAACAAGCTTGCTTCTCAAGTCACTCTTGGAGGTCTCTGTTACATTTTGCTGGAGTATTAAGACCTAAATGTAGTATCTCCTGCAGATCTCATCTTTCTTCCCCTTGATCTGGCAGAAATGAACCAGCCAGGAAGGGGGAGGATGCTGGGGAAGGTTGAGCATTCCCCGACTGCAGGTTCCCTGCTGCCACTAGAGTCAATCAGCAGCAGAGCAAGAGGAAGAAATTTATTTTCATCCAAATCCCCAAGGCATGCATATTCACTCTCGCTCTCTCTTTTTTTTTTTTTAAATAGTATCAGCTCAAATTAGTACCATTAATTCTTCTCATAGAAGGCAAGAACAGTTTTCAACTACCCAAGTAGGTATCAAGTGTTTTCACTTCATTTGTTGGGGTATATTTTTGATTTAAGTACGCAAGCCTATGTGAAACAGTGATTTCTAATTCTTTCCTACTTTGTGGGAATTCTAAGTAGGTCAAACTTTTTGCTTTGCTTTTCAAAAACATCACTGGCAGCCAAATACAAATTTAGCCCCCCAGAACTGAAGCAGTATTAATATACTTCTGACTGATAACTCTCCCTCTTTTTTCTTTAAGGGATGTGAAAAAAACTTGAAGCAAGAAAAGACTCAGATGTAAAGATGCTGCAAAGAGATGGGTACCAACACGGCTATCACACATGAGCTACATAACAGGCACTATTAATAAAACAATATATTTTTTATGTATGTGCACACACATATACATAACAATTCTTGATCATTCCTTAACTAGAAAGAATATTTCGAAAGATAGATTCGACCTAAAAATGGACCTGTGTACACTAGAAACTTTGTTACAAGTAAATGCTTGTAAACAAGCAGATTTGATGCAATTAAGGGAAATGTTTCACATTTCTTGTAAACGCATGACCGTATTCCACTGGTTCGCTGCTCCCTCTTGAGGCAGAAGTACAGAAGTTCGTTTCTCCTCTTCCACCTGAACTCTGTGATTGTGAGAGAATTCAACAAACTCTATCTCTACAAGGCTAACTCCACACAGAAAAGGTCGTGCCTGCAGACATAGTAAGCACTGTTTTTGCAATAAAACCCCGTGGAACAAGGCTGGATGTCTTGTCTATCAATAAGGCAATGAAAACCAAGTCCGACACAGCTAGGACAAGGTCGGCTACCACCTGCTTCCATACCAGCAGCAGGATCTCTATTCTATGTTATCTATCTAACTGTAAAAAGAAGCATGTATTTTCCACTAAATTTGCGCCACCTTAACTAAAGGTTAAACAGTATTTTTATTGTAAGGTTGCTTCTAACTGCTGGGCATTTATTTCCATTTCTGCTTGAGATCCACTGTCAGACAAGCAAACTTGCACAGATACAAGGGCTTACAGTCAGTATAAACATCTTCATGGAGGTTTGTAATGGCAATTATGTCAGCTTCTAAATCAATTTTAATTCACAAAGCACAAAATCACACCTCGGTTGTAGATTCAAGCCAGTCAATGAGAGACAAGAGGCAGAGTACTTAAGTTTTAACAACTGCCACCTTACATGTTAAGCATGTTAGACCACTACTCTAGGAGCTAAGCAATCTCCAAAAGCCTTACATATGTATATGAGCATACAGAGTTAATTTCTGAGGACACAGAAGAGGCAAATCTTATATGCCTGAGCAACATCATCGCAAATCAAACTTAGGTTTTAAATTTTCATTCAAATCTAAGGCATCAGATAATCTGTGAAGCAAATACTGCCTTATCTGAATTATTCAGTTTTCAGGTATTAATCTCCTGCAAAAAATGTTTAAGATTTACTTCATCAAGCTTTTATAGGCCCCTAGAGTTGATGGACTACATTCACAAGCCAAGCTACATCATTACACCCTAGCAGTGGTGTCCACAGGCCCTTGCCAAGGCAGCTGTTCCAGCAGAAGCCACCCTATCTGGTCCATGAGAAAAGTAGATGGATGAGAACTGTGGGCAAAATCATGAGCAAATTGAGCAGACAACTGTCTCCACTAACCATTAAGGAACTTCAATGATAAATCTTCTTTTTTTCTGGAGATTCATGGCCCTAGAAGTGCAGTGGCAGTAAATTCAGAAATTTCATTCTTAAATACAGGCAGAGATGATGGCAGCCAAACCCGTAACTGGTCTCCTATGGACCAGAATATCCACTAAGGTAACATTTGGGACGGTCATGTTTGACACACCTCTTTGACACAAGATTAAGACTACATTTCCCTAAACAGCGGGCTAGATGCTCATTCTCTTGCCCTGCTTGCAGATCATCAACCTTTAGGGTTGTTGTTTTTTTTTTCTTACACTGGCACAATCTATTTAACTAAAATCTCTAATACAAAAAAAACCCCACACCAGTGAAACAAATTGTGTGTTTATCAAGTCAGTGATGCATCCAACTACCTAATCACTGCAATGCAAGCAGCCCGTATGGAACCAGACACTTGTGTGGGCAGTATCAGTACCATCTCTGATGGCACGACATTTGTCTCTGATCTACTCATCAGTGATAGTAGCGATTGCAGGCTGTACAGTGATTTCATGTAATTCCTTCATAAACAGAAAGCCATAAAAGTGTAGGACTCGGCTAGTAAGAGCTGATTAAAATATTTTCTTTTTCTTTTATAATGATGTATCTGTCTGGCACTCAAGAAATCTGCTGGCTTTGGATCTTCTATAAGAACCTCCAATCTGTTGCATTATGAAGGAACAATATAAAAATCATGGAAATAATCTACTACTCCCATTTCTAAATATATCAACAGGACTGCAAACACACAAATCACTTAACATAACGTTCAACCTTAAAACACCCCCCCGCCCGCCCGCCTCGCATTCAGCTGAACAGACGTAAAAGTCTTAAGTTTGTGCTTATAATACTTATATTTTAAGCCAGCTGAGCTTTTTGCAATTACCAAGCCCTTATCCAGTAACACACCTGGTCAATGTCAGCATTTCGAGGTAGAAAATACACAATATTGTTGGTGATCTTCTTGGAGAGCCTGAAAATTTCAAATGTAGAAGCCAGTAAAGGAAAAAACAAGAATGTGGCAGAAGGAGTTGCTTTATATTCATTCATTTTGAAAGTATGTCCCAAATTCTGTTATCATGCAATTATAGTTAAGTCTTCTGGGTGTATAGATACTTTTCTGAAAGCAGAAATTAGTATTATCTAAATGCAGAAACTACTTCATCATTACTGCCCTAGAAAGCAGGAAAAAAAAAAACCCAACCCAAACACACACCTCACTTTGTAAGAAAATTTAACTGAACTACAGAGAAGTGTTTGATAAATTTGAATGTAGTTTTAGCTAGTACATTGATTTGATATTTGTTTTCTAATCCACTTCGTGGATTATCTCTCACACATGCAGACAAAGATTTCCTTACTCTTACGAATATGGCTACATTTTAGCCAAAAATGAAAAAACTGAGATAAATTTTGGGGGAAAAAAACCCCACACTTCGTATTTGATGACACTATTTTGCTAATAGCTTCCCAGATGAACAAGTGCCCAATACCACTGTTAATAAATTAGTAAGGAATTTTATACATTAATTAAAAGGGTTAATATCTTGCTTGCACTCTTCTGTGATTTACCAAGTCATAGGCAGGTGCCATACTTTCATAAATCAATTAAAAAGTGGAATTAATGACGAAGTCATAGCTCATGTAACTAACTATTACCTATATATACACACACCACATGGCTATTTGACTATTTCAGGGTATCTTAACATAATAATATAAAGGAGTTAAAACTGCTGAATTAGTGCTTTAAGTTAAGAAGCTACTATGACTCTTTAAAGGATTTTTTACTTTTCAGAATAACTCTTTAAAAGCTTTTTTTAGAATAAAAAATTATAATAAAAATATTCAATTTTAGCTGGTCAGTCATACAGCTGAGGTTGGGGAAGGAGGACTAAACAAATGCAGCGCATCTGGAACTTCAAGCTGCTGGTCATATCATCCCCAGTCAGCCCACTGGACACGCAAAGCCTCTATCATGAGAGGGAGGAGAAGAAAATGAGAAAACCACTCATAAATGACTGAAAATCCCAACAACGCATAGGTTTGAAAGGATATCCATCTGGGCAAATCATGGTTTGGATATTGAAGATTTCGGCAGTGGCATAGTCAGGCCCGCCCCAGGGCGGGCTGAGGAACACAACATCTGCTTGCAGGTCAGCAGCCAGCACCATGAAGTCTCCGCACACGAATTCTATCTGATCCGCCACGCCGTACACCTCAGCGTTGTTGCGCGCCAGACTGAGCTTCTCCGGATCAATATCAATAGCGATCACTGCAAACGAAAGAGAGCAAACGCACAGGTCGACGTGAACCGAGAATGCCACCTGATCACCAAAACAATGCTTCAGAAGGAAGGTGTTCTTCTGCAGCCACCACTCACATCTATAGTCTACCGTGGTGCGGCAACTACTTCAGTTTTGTAGGTTACAGTAGACGTGAAGCTACAGTTCCTAAGAGGGGAAGTAACTGCCCTCGCGTGGCAGAGATTCCACCAAGAGGAGAACTGCTGCATTTACAAACCAGCGAGGGAAGCCACGCAGCCAAGACTGGCAAGGCTCAGCTGCTGTTGCAACGCTGCGAAGCTTTAGCTTTTGGCAGTCGTACATTTACTACCATGACAATCCTCTACCTGAGCTCAAGTAGCAGACAGGTAAGGCTGTTCGCCTAAGAGAGGAAGTCCTCCTTGCTTTGGTCTTGGCAGGAGCCTGACAGCTTAAACAGTGTCAATTAGAAACTTGCTCTTCTCCTGTGTTCAACATTTATCTGTGGCTGATCACACTGTACTGAAAATTCAGTTAAAAAAAATACAACACCCAATACAGCACAAAAGATGATACAAGGGCAGTACATAATCACAGAAATAAGACTTTCGCCAGGAAATACAAAAAGCTAAGTGAAATTTAGAAAATATTTATAGAACGGATCATAGACTACCAAATTTCATGCAGCAGAAAACTATCATTTGTCTTGCTCAGAAATTACTCAGAAGCATTAGATGAGCTGGTATAATACCAGAGTGTTTGATGAGTAGAGGAATAATAGCAAGTAGTCAATGTTTTTACAGAAAGCACTCTCCATGTTTCACTGCAATTTCATTAGCTGGCAACAGGAACTCAGACTAATATTAAGTTATTATCACTTTTCTGTATTTGGTTCTGCTGCACCTGCAGGTGATCCCATTCAAGTGTTTTAAGTACTATTTGCACATAACCTGCTTTGAGTACACAAACTCGGTGTAACCAGTGGGAAAAGCAGCAGCTTTGTCGGCGTCTCTGCAGGTTGGCACTGCAGACGGAACTCAGCCTTTACCAGCAATCTTCAGAGCATCCGACAGGCTAATTACTACGCCATGTAAAAATAACTTTAGTACAACACAAACCCAGCTCTGACTTAAAATAGAAAAGCAGTTTTATAGTCCTTTTTAAAAACAGAAAACTCATAAGGTGAGTGTGATGAAGCAAAAAAAGCTTCTGTTGCTTCAGAAGCATTGGAAAAAAACATAAACCAGTGAACAAAGTGCACACCCAAATTTTTAGGGAAAAAGATTGAAGAAACAAAATAAGATGCTACATACACCACCTGCTTACCTCTTTTTGAGGTCAACGCAAACTGAATAGCGTTTCCTCCAACCCCGCAGAATGCATCCACTATGATATCGCAGTTGAATGACTCACTAACGCGGACAGCAATATGCTCAGCTATTTTCTCAGGAGTAACAGAAAACCAGCCTTCTGCAAATGAAAGGGGAGAAGTGTGTTTTTGCCTCTTCTTTCAAGGTCACCCAAATCAAAAACAACCAACCAATCCCCCCACACAACTGAAGGTTTAGCATTAATCCCAACAATTTTGGCTTAGCGCACTCAACCAGGAAATACAGGCTTTGAAGACGATAAACTCTGGTCAGTCTAGCGATTCGCTAAGCAAACAAAGCCTCGCTGAAGCAAACAGATATGCCTGAAGCTCAGTAAATGCTTTGTTGAACTTGGTGCTGAGGATTCTGGCTTACAAAGGACAAGTCCACCGAGACAGCTACGAAAAACTTTGTACATTGTGATTATACTCTGTAACAAATAAAATCAGAAACATATTCTCTCTTACCTGACAGCAATGTCTGGTCTGCATAATAATCTATGTGTTTATGTGGGAGAGCATTAGAAGTGAAAGGCTTATAAAACCAACAAGCCCAAGATACAAAAAGCAGTAATCCTTATTCCTCCTTTACCTATAAATTTATGATTTGGAAGTGGTTTCCATGCAAATATGAAAAAAAGTAACTTCTAAAGAGACTGCTGAAAGTCAGAACAAAACAGAACAAGACTGGATCCATCAGCATATTTGGAAGTTCCAAAAAATAAATTTTATAAAATATAGAAATAGAAAAATGTCATTGAGTTTCTGAAAAAGCCCTGTCCCAGCATAATTTGAGTACAGTATGATCTTTGGCAAAGATCAGGACCAATGCAAACAGGGGTGTCCCACGCTAGAAGCTCTACTGAGGTCCAAGACTTCTGTTTGCCTGCCTGCTGGGGATGGAATTTATCCAGAGATGCAAACGCACACTCAGTAATGCTCCTAAGAAAATCAGTAAGAACCTGCAAGAAGGGCCACAGGTTTGGATACATCTTATACCACCAAAGTCAGCATACTGCGTACTTTGTGCTAAACACACCTCTGTCTAGTTTAATTCCCTCGTCAAACCGAGAGAACAGCCGGTAGCGTTGCGCCCAGTACTTGGCCAGCTCCGGATCTGCAGCAATCTCGGCAGGTATCGCTCCCAGCGCAATTTTATTCCTTCTTCTCCTTTTTTTCTCCTTCTTCTTTTTCTCCTTCATCTTTTCATCTACAGCTGAAAGACACTGCAAAAGTTAATAATCACTGTTCTTGGAGGCTAGGAATGTAATCGGTAGGGTAGGTGAGAGTCAAGATATAAGATGCTCATGTTTAACAACACTGATGAATGTCCTTTATTACTGTTTGCCAGATTACGCAGATCAGTGGTTTAAGTTAAAAAAGAGCATCCTGTATTTCAAGGGAATACTGACAGGTATCAGTCACAGTCCTAAAAATCATAACACTTCACCCATTATTCCAGAGCCTTAACAGGCTAGTTGTCATCTTCTATGAATTCTATATAGTAAGTAATCAAGTGGATTAGAGACCAACTTCATGTCCTTATATAAATAAGGAATAAGAACCAATCTAGACAAGAGTTTTACAGTAGAAATGTATCATAACTGAATTACTATAGGAAGGATTAAACTATATGTAGAAACCACTCAGCACTGCACATCCGAGAACCCAAAACGTGACGGTCTGTGCATCCACCTGAAGTTAATCACCCTCATCCTTACAGAGGCAAAAGGGTCTGAATTAGGAGACCTGTTAGATCATGCCTAGGACCAACAATGACTGTTTATCTGTAACGAAATCCTGCCAATATTAAATACAAGACCTGGGATTCCGGTGCTCCAGAAATAAGCTGCTTCCACCAGGGCAGCTCTCAACCAGCCTCATTACCCCTTGGACCTAATAAGCCTTTCTGAATAAACAGAACAAGTAAATACCACACAGCGCTGTAATTTGGGAAGGCAGTACGAAGCCCGCTGCCAATCCATTCCCAGTCTGTAGGAAACTGACGTACCTTGGCCGACGTCCTCCGTCTCTGCCCGGAGATAATCGGGAACATCCAGTGGGACCAGCTGCCGCCCGCAGCCGCGCTCCTGCCTCCCTGCATCCTGGCCATCGGAGCCACTCGCTGCCGCGTCCTGCGCTTCCTCTGCAATGTCGCTGCCCCCAGGTTCTGCCACGGCTGCAATGGAGGATGGAGGCTTTTGCTCTTCAGCGTTCAGCGCGGCAGCAGCACCGTCCTCATCCTCCTCCGAGGAGCTGTTCCTGGGGGATGACAGCTCTGCTGTCTCCTGCGGGGAGCCCGTCGGGGGTGCGGCTGACTCCCCAGGTTCTCTGACCTGCTTCAGGAACACTTCCACCTGCGAGTGTCAATTCGATTAGAAGGTGCTGCCAACCAGCTGCCCAGAGCTCAGCATCACGTCCGTCCAAGGCGCAGACGCCTGTCCCGACTCTGAACTGTACTGGCCTCAGATGCCAACGGCCAAGCGTTCGATCAAAAATTATAGCAACGGGCCTGCAGTTCAACGCAGTATGTGCAGCCACCACCAGAAAACAGTGTTTTGCACTCGGGTGTTACAGAATGCCAAGCACCCCAGATGAAGGCAAAGTAACATTTAAAATTTGAAGTAACAGATTTTAAGGAGACTTGACATGAAAAAAAAAAATCTACAATGAATAAGTTTTTCTACTTATTGCTAACTTCTGATTTACAGAAAAAAAATATATTTAAGCATGAAGTAACACGTGAAAATAAATGCACGTAGAACTATAAGCAAAAATGTTGATATAAATTAATAAGAATATGGAGTTTCACAAAATACACTAACCTATACAAACGTTTTTCTCTCACTGCTGAAATGCCAGCACTAACCATGCATGCCCTCGCATGCATTTTAAAACCAGAGATACTTCTGGTAATGATAGATACCTACACACAACTCTAAAGGAATGATGCACCCAGATGTTAGGAAAGACTTCCACATAACTTCACCATTAAGCTCACATTCCTTTTGACAGATTGCCAAGAGCCCAGCAATGCCCTTCCATATCCACCCTAACCTAACTATTCTTCATCTAAGCAAGGGGGAGGAAAAAAAAAAAAAAATAAAGAGCAGTGCACTGACACTTAAAAAACACCACCTACTCTGGGAATTTATTTTTTCATTTTAATAATTCAACAACAGATAAGGAAGGAGATAAGTCTATGCATTACAGCAACACTAACAATTAAACTTACCTTCTTCAAGGTTTTACTTTTTTTGCAAGATGTTTCAGATCCCTCTGTAAAGAAGATGTGTGTGTTTTTGCTCTTCCTTGGTTTACGCATATCCAAGAATTTGGACTTGAGTTTTGCTTTTTTCTCCAAGTACTGCACACTTCGGTGGGTGAAATCTGGAATTCCACCATACCTGAAATGGAAAATGTGTTCCCTATGTCAATGTCACAACTGGAATTGACTCAAAAGTTTCAAAATCTGGGGTCAAGAGGAAAAAAAGAAAAAAAAAAGATAAAAAAGAGAAAAAAAAGAGAAAAAAAGAAAAAAGGGAAAAAAAGAAAAAAAAAGAAAAAAAAAGAAAAAAAAAAAAAAGAAAAAAAAAAAGAAAAAAGAAGGACTTAGTTGGCCAATTTCCAATCTGGAAGCTTCAACACAAATGTTGATGTCTACAGAAGATGATTTAAAAAATGCTATTTATTTATGAGACATTTGCTCCACTCTTGAAATATATGTCACTGGATGTACCTGTAAAACAACATACCTTCATGAAAATTTTAAAATATTTTTATTTGAAAATGTTTACTCAAATTAATTTTAGACTTTTTTTTTTCTAATAGGTTTATAACTTTAAGTGGAAATAATTTCCCAGAGCAGCCTGAAAAATATGAAATAAAAAGTTATCTTGATTAGTAGAATAAAACATCTTTTTGGTGGCTGTATAAAAAACCAACAACCTCCAGAACAGCTACTTTTGTCTCCTGGCAAATGCAATTAAAAAAAAAAAAAATGAGGAAATATGGGCAATTCACTTAAATAGTTTTTATAAAAGTAGAAGAGAGATTGTCAACTACAAAACACACTACTCTGAAACATACATATATATATATATAAATATGTGTTTGTGTGTACCAAACAACTTGCATCATGGAGAAGGCCTAGACCTAAGCTGCAGTCCACCTGTGCCCTATGATGTTGCTTCTGTAGCACTGATCACTTTCTCTTCAGGTTCTATGACCAACAATGAAATTTCACTGATCACTACCCTGGCAACGCTTTATTAATACATCAGCATTTCACCAGTATAACATGACCTCATTTCCAATATGATATCGCTATAAATTTTGATGTAAGGTCACAGGACTCCAAAGTGAGAGGACCACTCCTTGTCAGCGTCTTTAAGCATCCCTGATCTAAGCAGCTGACCAGCCATTTAACATTATTCACTCAAACGCAATTACCTTATGAGTTACACTTCCATTTCAAAGCACTTTTCTTGTTCTTTAAATAGTTTCTGTAACTTTGCATCTCTCTCTCTAGCCAAATGACGACAATTTTATTAAGACCAGAGACTAACTTTAAGAATCATCTTCAAAAGTTTAACAAAATGGGAATGGAGATGAATGGTCTGTTTGAATAATAATGAGAGCGCTGGCTTGCTATGAATAAACCCTGAGTTCCTCATGAGCAATTACTTTTGTCCTGTGCCACACTTGAAACCCAAAACAGAGCAGGTTTCCTCAGGATCTTCCACTGGGTTCTCATCCACGTCCAGTTCATGGCTGGGAAAAAATGCAGATAAGAGAAAGTTACTTACTGTAAAAAACACTCTTATTTTACAGATATACCCCTAAGAAACTCATGTATTGAAAACATCTGAATGTACTCTTCAGTAAGTTCTTCCACACACTGCTGAAACCAAGCAAGGCAGGTAACACCAGTTTATTCATATGCATGAGCACATACTTTATTTTTTTCTTTTTACACAATTCTAGGGACATATGTCCTTCTGTTGGGGTTATAGTATTCCAATTATTCCAAATTATCTCTTAAAATCTTTAGTATCAAGCCCTACATGGCACTGATGAAGATAGTGTTTGCTCACCCTATTTCCAAATTAACTTAATGATGTTTTCTAAATTATTATCTATTATTAATGTCATAGCAACAGCAAAATATTAGAACAAAACCAAAACACATCACTAGCAGATAATAATTCTATTCATCCCTCCACCTTTGAGTTTTTATATTTATTAGAAAGGAAAAGCCATCCTATCATCTTCAAGGCTATAAATCTTTGAGAAAAAAGACTGCAACAAGGCAGAGATTAGCTATTTTAAGACTGTCATAGCACTGAGCACTTTACTGGCAGCATACAACTCAGTTAAACAATACAAATTATTTGCTATCATTCCTGCATCACCTACACTAATCAGGCCTAGATAGCAAGTCATCCTATTCGATTTAACAATCTTCTATACTTCAGTATCACAAGAATAGTACTGTCACCTTGCACTGTCATCAAGGGCATACGTTGTTTACATAAAGCAATGGAAGACGTGACATACCACTGCTTGTTGCCAGGTAAAGTGATAAGCAGTGATGGAAGACTATGTGGCTTTGTACCGAAGTTTTAACTCACAATCTCAATCAAACAGTTACTATAAATCAGGAGGCTTCTGGACCTGGGTTTCTTGAGAAAAAAGTGCGTCTTAATTTCATGACTTGCCTTCTCTTGACTTTGGCATGTCTGTATTCAGGAGGCTCTTCATCCTCATCTTCATCGTGGTTACGAAGCAGCAACTGTTCTTTGTCATTTGAATTCGAGCTACATGACCCCTGTGAACCTAAAAATAGATAGATGAGTTCATATTTTCCTTCTGCATAAACTGATTCCTTATCTTCCTGTCCCCAGAGTATGGCTGCAGCTACGGTTAGGTTGTCTGACATATCTGAAGCTGACAATTAAGGCACAAGTGCCAATCACATGTATCTTTACCTGTCTTTGTTAGAGGGACAACATACCAACACAAGCTTCCAGTACTAGTTATACTGTAGAGTTAATAGACTTAAGCAGGACCAACTTGAAATTATCTCAGCTCTCCAAGAAAAATAAAATGCCTACAAGGTACAAATTCAAAAGTTGCTCCCTGGAAATTCTGTTTCCATTTCATAGCTATGCAAAGATATTCACACACATTTAATAAGAGATGATTCCAACACTCCTCTCCTTTCTTGTTGGAAACGAGATTTTCCTTTCCCCTCTCCTATTCCAACTGTACTGTAGTATCACGATGGGACCACATCTGCTTCTTCCTTCCTTAGAAAGCCACTAGCAGCAGACTCAAAGGTTTCCCACCAAACTGAAGTCCCGAGCTGCTGACACTTAACTCACATGCTTCATCCCTCCTGTTCAGCAGTAGAAACCATACCACAGTCAGGAAAGACATAACACGGCTGCTTACGGCAAAGGCTGGCAGGAAGAACAGGCAGGCAAACAAGATGGCTCTCTCCTTTCTCTGCACATTGAACTGGTTGGCAAAAAAGTCTCCAGCCTGCTCTCGCATCTCTCTCACAGAAGCTCCTCCAGCAGTGTGAGGCACAGCCACTGGCTTGCACCACGCAACTACGTGACCTGGCACTTTCACTTGTTAGCACTAGCTGTGAACGTATGAATTTGGGATTGTGAAGATGACTGCAGGTCACTGCCTAACTGACAACTTAATGATGGAACAGACTTCTGGAAGACTTCTAGTCCACAGTAACAGTACAACAAAGTAAGAATTTATTTTCAGGTATGGTGCTTTTAGACGGAAGGCACACACACACCGCCCCCCCTCCAGAACTGAAGAACTATTTTTTTTCCTCAAAAACCTGTTCTTAAAATTTGTCAGATTCATGGGAACATCAACCTGAGTTTTCATTCATTTTAGACTATCACTGAAAAAGGACACATCAGCAGAATGAGACAGCTGCAATACCAATACTAAGATAAATAAATGCACACTAACAGTGCTCTCTCACCACTTTCTGTAGTGCATTTGAAGATATATGAAGTACACGTTCTGTTAAAATCACTTCTGGTTGAAGAACACATTCAATATACACATTAGAGAAGAGAGAGATCACCCAGAGAAGCAGAGGGAAGAAAAAGGAATCAAGTGTGCAATCATTCCACAAAATACTTGATCGGCTTTTTAAAAATCGCGTCATACAGACACGCTCTTGTTTCTTATATACAACCACCTAGAGAAATTCTTGTAGAATCAGTTTTAGCTGATTTTGTATTACCTGACTGGTTAATACTTTTATTTTCACAAGAAGCACTCCTTTTCCTGGCTCCTCCATCACAGGGCTCCTTCTGGCTTTCGCTGTCAGATGAACTCTGCTCCTGGGGACCTCGGTGGGTTACTGTTATAGCTGCCTTGTCCTGCTCCACTTCCTCCAAACTCAGATTTAAACTACAAATCCCAGAGATTATTTCACTGTGGGGCTCAGCACTTGAAGGGAGTGTTTCCTCACTTCTGGTGTTCGAGGGAGACAGGTCCAAGCTCAGCACTTCACTTGGACTAACCAAGTCCATTTTTCCCGAAAGATCCGTCTCCTGGGTAACCCCGTTAGCTTCCACCTTGTCACTGTGTGAGCTCTCAGTAGCCCACCCTTGACTCGTCCAGTACTGAAACTGTTCCCAGTAATACCAGTACAGTTCGTTATAATGCTGCTCCCACTCTTCCTTGGTGTCTGGACTATTCCAAGGCTCAGAGGCTGTTGTGGCCTCAGATGATGAGACCTCTTGATGCTTCTCCAGCCAGCTTTGCCAAAGAAGGCCCTCTCCGTACTCACTCCAGTACTTCTCCCAATTTTCTCTAAGTTCACTGGGTAAAGCCTCATTGGCAAGACTTTCTGAACTTTCACAGTTCCCTTCACTTACATCCTGAGGTTTGCCGCTGTTCCCACTTTGCTCTGGAGCTAGGGCAGGCTCACCAGAAATGGACTGGATATGATCACCACGAGCTTGAT